TTTTTTTTTTTTTGGGGGGGGGGGGGGCAGGGAGGGAGGAGGAAGACAACAGATTCCCCACCTCTGTGTGGAAGGCCTCTTACACCGGCTTTTCAAGCATCTGGTGGTGGCCACTGTGGGAGACTGTATACTGGATTATATGGGCAACTAATGTAATCCCCCTCCAATAATCCCTAGGTTTTTATAAAAGGTTTAACTGCCCCCCACCCGCCTCTTTAGGAAGAAAGTCCCTAGAAGCCACTTCAGCTCATGTCAAGCAGATGGGAAAGCCTGGAATACAAGAACTCCAACAGCTACTAACTGGAGAGGGTGGGGAAGCAAGGGCAAGATATGCACAAATGCCTTTATAAAGGAAACTCACCATCTGGTCAGCCAGCAACAACACAGTCTTGAGACTGAACTTGCGAGAACAGAAGTTGAAGAGATCCTCCAGGCTGGGCCCCAGAAGCTCCATCACCATCACATTATAGTCCCCCTCTGCCCCACACCACTTAATGGAGGGAATGCCCACTGGAGAAAGAAAAGCAGATCACCATGAACCAGAGGCAGACAGAAGATAATCACAGTGACTCCCCACCCATCAACAGCATCTCCTGGTGAGAAGGACACATCCAACACTAAGATACCTCAGCAGCACTTCCATTTTCTCCTCTTAAGACCTGTGGAAACCATTTCTGCCTTTCCCTCCACTGGAGACAGCAACCTCCCTAGGCTCCTTCCTATATCTCACCTCCTCCCTGCATCATCTTGTAGAACTTGCTCTCAATGTGAAGCTGAGGGTGCTTCGTTTTGACACATTCTAACTTGATAGCCACCTCTTCACCCGTAGCAATATTAGCACCTGCAGAGAAACAAGGGCAAAATGAAAGTTACGCATGCTTTGAATTACGTTAGACACCCTTTCATAAAAGCCAGTGCCCTGGAATGCAACAGAACCGAGCTTCATAATTTTAGCTTTCGTGTAAACACACAAACCAGCCCACATATCTGCCCCCCACACACCGTTTTTCTAGTTCTTGTATTTGCAAAGAAAGGCTTGCAAAGGCCAGCCAATGCAATCTCTGAGGGGGACAAACTGTCCATTATCTCAATAAAGCAAGCTTAAAATTTTACAATGAGAATTTTAGCTATATTGACAAAAGCAGTCAATAATGGCATAGTTAAGTGCAGTAATTCTTATCCCACAATCCCAAACTGGCCCCTCCACCCAGGAGACAAAAACCTCCACTTTCTCCTTCCTACTTCTCCAGTGTGGTTACCCTTTGTCAACATGGAAGTGTTTGTCATACCCAAACTTAGAACTATGAAGAAATACACTGGATGAAACACTGAAACAAAACAGAGGCTCTTAAAAGTTCTGTGTATAGGTCTTGGCATATAATACCCTTCCCCAACTCAAACCCACCCATATAGCGGCATACAAAGTACTAAAGGTTGCACAAAAACACAGAAGACAGGTAACACAAGGGATTTGCTTGTGCTTTAGAATATCCAACAAAAGTAATCCTGGAACAGGCATATTAGATCAAAGACAGGCTGGTGAGGAAAGAATGTTTATACAGCCCACTAGAAGCCAAGGGACTGGAAAAGACAGGGACAAAACAGTGAACTGGGGTGAGTCGCAGAAGAAGATGCTGATCATCCAGCCAACCTTGGTAGGTCAGGTCAATTCTTGCAACAAAAACAATGGTTCTCAACTGGGAAGCTGTGGCATGGGCATTACTGCTACATTGGCGGCAGCAGCCAAGGAGAACTGGGGGAGGGGAGTCAGACCAGAAAGGGTTGGAGGCAGGAGGGCATGATCATGCCACTTTAGGCTCATCAGATAACCCTAGTGCAGGCAGAATGTGCATTCCTGCCACAGTCGCTTCCTAATCCAGCTGTGCACATGGTGCATAGGGTCATCCCACCTGGCTGCAGTGGTGGTGGCAGCATCACCCAGTAGAGAGCCACTGAGGTTAAGCCAAGGCAGCACAACAATGATTCTCCACTAGGGTGCCAAATTCAAAACAAGGTATGGAGGGGTACCCTGAACCTAAAAAGGCCGAGAGCCACTGCCGTAAAGATCAAGCTGGTGTGCTGAGCCTCCCTGGTGAGGGAGGCAGAAAGAAAGCATTTGTATCCTATTCATATTCCACCCCCCCGGCTTCATCCTTACCCCCTCCTCAACCCTTGTTAGAACCAAAAAGGCAAAAAGCAACACTATGGTTTACTCTCCCATGCTGTCTCCAAAAAAAGGAGATGGACCCAGAGTCCATTCCCTGTGGATACTTCTTGACCTAGAGTCTACAGTAGCAAGTCTGCAACAGACAGGCTAGTATGGACTTTTGGGTGAGGAACAAAAAAGAAAAATGATCAGGGACCTGGATAGACACTGATGTAAGCAGAAAGATCCAAAAAGCCAAAATGCAGAAGGGACCACGAAGAAGTACGGGGAAGAAGAATGAGACATGGCAGCAATCTGCAAGTATTTGAAGGCTGTAAACAGCAATGAGGGAAAAAGAATTATTCAGACTGCACCAAGGCAGGAGGAGGAGTAAAAGGAAGAATTATTCTGAAATATTTTTACTCAGTACTGAGGGACAGAGCCATGTTGAGAGCAGGAGCCATTTAGCCAAGGGTCGTATGTGGAGACAGAGATAAATTCCATCTTTATATTACAGCCTGCGGGCCAGAGATATATTTAGGACTATAATATACATCTCACACATGCACCCGGTTTGCATATAGATGACAGTTACAGCATGGCCCCTGAATAGTAACTAAGCTTTTAGTTAATTATTTGTTCAGTCCCTTATTCTCATTCTGCATTTCTCAGTGGAAAAGACACTCGCCTGTTAAGAACTGTAGGTATTTAGGACCTGTGCATAACTTCCTTCCCTCTCCTCCCTTCTCCCTGCCTTCCTGACACTCCTCTCAGCTCCTTGCAGTAATTCACAGTTCCTTTCCCTCTGTGGGTGTTGTTCCCATCCCAGTCCATCCACTCGCACAATGAACAATATGCTCAAATGTCTCAGAAATGTTATCTTTTGGCTTTTGAGTAACAACCCCAAAGATGTTGGGGGAGAGGAGGGAAAGGGGGAAAAAAGAGAAAAGGAATAGGTGAGTTCACATCTCCAGATCATTATTTCAGGCTGATGGCAGATTTCAAAAAGGAGGACACTGCAGCCATTCCAAGCCTGTTTGTATGTGGGAGATTATCACTGCCAGCATGGAAGGTAGGAACTTTTTTTTTTTTTTCTTTAAATAAGCC